GGGGCATACTCAACGGCCCCAAAAAAATTAACGTCTGGGCAGGTATCTTAGGTGATAGCATTATTGGTCCTCTGTTTATCGAAGGAAATTTAACTGGAGATACTTACCTAAACATGTTACAAAATACAGTCGAGCCTCTCATCACTCATGAAATAGAGAATCAAATAAATCCAATTGACGGAAACATGAATTTGATTGAAGATTTAATACATATTCAACAAGATGGGGCTCCTCCTCATTACTCTATGGCTGTTCGTGAATTTTTAGATGAGAAATTTCCGGGACAGTGGATAGGACGAAGAGGTCCTATAGAATGGCCAGCACGATCTCCAGATCTGACACCATTGGATTTCTTTCTTTGGGGTCATTTAAAATCGGTTGTGTTGTGTACAAAACTGAACCAGCTTCCATAAATGATCTTCGCTACCGGATAGTCAGGGAGTGCCGTTCACTTTCCAGGGAAGTGTTTAAAAATGTTAGAAATGAATTTGAAAACCGTTTGTGGTATTGTTTAGAACAAAACGGTGAACATTTTATTAAATAAAAGTTGTTTATTTGCGGAGTTCAAATTTTAGTGTAATAAATTGTGAATGGGCAGTTTAAATGTACCAGTGTATTTCTGAAAAGCATTTTTTAAGAGCTTTCCAATGATGTATCACAAGTGATACGTCACAATTCAAAATTTAGGCATGGGGGTGGCGGGGGGTACGAGGTTGAAGTTGGTTCCTTCTTTATATGACCATTTTGGTTCCCCCTCTATTCTACCGAAACGGTTTTGGCCATTTTGTGATACCTCTAATATAAAAAACGATATCGCCCATTGAAAGTTTTAAAAGTGTCACCCTGTATAGGTATCAATACTTACCAACATATGTGTTGATTTTATATTAAACCTTCTTGACAAGGTTCAGTCGCCTGTTTGTGCCCCTCCCCATACCACCAAACCTTCTACCCACCCAAGTTGTATCTCTAGGTCAAAAATGGTGGATACATGTTCCTTCATTGTCAAAATGGGAAAAAAACAAAAGAAGTGACATTACAGTTTTTGGAATATTTACAGTGACCTTGGGTCTGCTGGGGACGAAAACTTGAATTTTGCATTTCAGTCACGTTCCATACAAGAAAAAAAGACGAAACCTACTACCCCCACCTGATGCAAATAATGATACTGGGCTATTTGTTACACGCATAAATATTTTCCACACAGATGCAATGCTAGATTAACAAACATTTCATATAGAATAACGTAACGAAATATTTTGCAATAAAATAGGACGCAATTTTTTAGTAACAATTTAGAACGAACACTAATGCGTATTTTTAAATCAGCACGATATGATAAAGCCAAAAACTGTGAAAAACTAAATTCATTCAAGAATTTACCGAATTGTAATACAACACAAAATTATGCATGCAATAAAAATTTCATATACCATGCAAATGCTAACGTTTCGTATTAGTCGACAGTAGAAAACTTACGGGCGATAGCACGTAACCGTGGTATTGCAGGAGAACCGGGTGGACTGTGAGGTGAAATTACGCCAGTAATCGCTTTGTTATCTATCGTGTGCTGCACCGTAATTGTATGCCTAAAATCGGATGGAAAACTAATATTCGTTCCGGGTTCTTTCTTTAACAATTTCAGTCTTGACCTCTTGAACTTCCCTAAATAAACACGTTATCTGCGAAATCGATAGGTAAGAGAACACTACCTTTCCTTTTGTTAGGTGTGGGCGTCTGTTGCTTAATCATAAAATGCAGCTCTCTCTCTAACAAATCTATTTCTCGAGCTTGCAGTTCTTGCTCTTTCTGTCTCAGTTGCTCCTCGTGCAACCGCTGCTGCAACTGAGCTCTATTTAAATCCTCTTCTCTACATCGCAGCTCCTAAAAAAGCAATTTTTTTATTTACAATGACAAGCAAGTCCGTAACCGTCAGTAAATTACCTCCTCGTACGATTTACAAGCCTACATAACGCAGCATAAATGAGATAGAAAATCAAGTAACAGAAATTATGAGTAAACCTCTCTAAATTACCTTCTCTTTCCTGCGCAATTCTAAGAGGACTTCTTCTATTTCTTGCCGCCAATTTTCCTGCATGGTATGAAAACTCTCGTGTGGTGTTTGCGTAAAAGAAGAGTGTACGATGTTATCTAAAGCGTCCAGAATTTCCTCAAACGTCGGTCGTCTGTGAGGGTCCGATTCCCAACAGGCTGAAAATGTATGTAAGCACTATGACAAGAACACTCTTAATTTTTCTCAAGTCAAATTTACGTATGCTATCCATAGAATTTATACATCTGGGATTACCTCACACTCCGGTATTCTATTAAGATAACAAGTAGAAGGGTAATTTACCTTCCATAAGATCGCGCCATGGTTGAGGACACGTGCTTGGAATAGGTAAGGTAAGTTTGTTGACCGCAACGCCGTACGCCACAGCAAGCGTATCTATACCCTTGTAGGGAGTTTCTCCGGTTAAAAGTTCCCACAAGAGTACTCCGTAACTCCAAATGTCACTCGCCTTTGAAAATGTCGAGTTCTTAATCACTTCAGGAGCCATCCATGCGTACGTTCCCGCCTGCGACATCCTTGTCGTTTTGTAAACTTCCCTCGCAAGTCCAAAATCCGTAATCTTAAGTGTTTTAAATTGCAAATCTTCGTTTGAAATTTCTTCACTTAAGAGAACTGTAAGAAAATCAGAGCATTAATTATAAAAAGTAAATAATTTCCTTAGTATGCCTTGTTTTATGAATATACCGAGAAATACACACTCAAAAACGAACCTTCTAGGTAAGTTTACACGTTTTTGGGTGGTCTCTTTTCGATTTTCATGTAACTTTTTTACCATTTGATTTTTGGTAGGCGAAGACGAGGGGAAACAACTCCTTAAATATGGTGTACACCTGGAATTTTTAATTACTTGATTACCTTTTCAATACTTTAATTACGTTTTGAGTCTTTTCAGTACCTACCTTCAAATACATTTCCAGTATTTTGATTACATTGTGAATATTTTAATTACTTTTTCAATTTTTTAATTACAATTTCAAATACTTTCATTACTTGTTGAGTATTTGATAACATGTTTGGTAAAGGTCAGGTTGTTGACCCGTCATGTACCAAATTTGGTACACATATTCTTAGACAAAAAAGGAAGAACTTAAAAATGTTTGGACAGAATGCGCAGGCTGTGCTAGCCTCAGCAATTTTTTTTTCTGAATCATGTTACTCTTAATACATAAGGTATGGGTAAAATCAGTAGTAGGCTCTGGTAAAACCCTTTCCCTTAATCCCAGCTGAAAATTAATTCTTTTTCGTTTTGAGAACTATTCATTAGAGTACCATAGAAGGATAACTAGTCCCTCCCCCCCCCCCACGCTACTTTATAAGAGGAAGAAAAGAAGGGCGTAAGTTTGTAGAAGAACGGTTCCTTTCGTTGAAATGCTTTAATTAAGAATAACAATCAGAAGCATCAAATTAATATTCGTAACACGGCCCCCTGCCTCTCCCCTAGTTGTACAAACCAATTTATTACCGATGAGACTTTCATTAAATACTGAAGGGTAGACACATGCGTTTACCAACCCCCCCCCCCTTCCAAAGTTTAACTTGCCATGCGAGACCAATTGGTTGTCTTATGTAAAAGTTATGCACGTTTTACTTTCAAAAACAGCATCTCAGGAAATAATTCTTCAAGGTATAGGCTAGGTACTGCAAACAATAGCATTTTTTTTTAATGCGCTAAAAATATGCTCCAAGGTCACACCTCGACGCCAGTCACTCCTGTGCCGCCCATTCGTAAATAGCAAACGCGTTTTCCGGCGTTTTCCCTTCGGAAAAGTCCGCAGCATTTTGCTTTTCCAAAAAAATTAAGAAGACATATCCGTTGAATTAGGATACCTACGCATTTTTGTGAAAAAAAATACCTACAAACTTTTCATGCAAAGAATTGAACCCAAGTCACCCAGTTACAAACTGAAAATCCTTGCCACTAGACCAGGGGTCGGCAACCTGCGGCTCGCGAACCGCATGAGGCTCTTTTGATGTAAAGTTACGGCTCTCTGCATTTATCTAAAAAATTAGTTCATTTTTTTGAAATTCATGTTAATAGATCTTATTTTATTACGAAATTGAAAGTACACTTGAACCACATAATTACCAAATTTGTGACACTTGTTTGTCTTTTTTTATTATCACAGCCTACTCCGATGTATAAACATGTCATTAAACTCGTCATTAAATAATAAGAAAAAAACTTGAATAACCTAAAAATTATGAACTTTAAGCATAGGACACCTCGTATAAAAATTGAAGAGGTTACAAAACACAATCGAATAGCGAAATAAAATAATGGTAGTTGAAAATTTGAAAAACAATAGTTATGGTACTTTGAATTTATTTATTTAAATGTCAAAAAATCATTACTAAAATAAATACTTGTGCTAATATCGTACTCTTAACTACAAAGTCAATTGAAAGATACCAAAACGGAGAGCAAAACAGAAACTAACTAATTAGATTGAATATTCTACACTAAAAGATAATAATATGAACAAATGACATTGAAATAAGTACAAATATTCAGGATGTTCTATTTAAAAAAAGCGTTTATTTATTGACACCGTAAAAATGGGACACCCTGTACATTCAAAAATAATTTCTGTAGATCCGCAACCATGTATTTGACATTTGCACACAAGATTTTTTTTAAATCTTTTTTACCAGGTATAAGCTAGGAAGGACGGACGCACTGTTGCAGGACCCTGTATATGACCAAAATTACAGTATTGATTCGAAAATTTTTAGTGGCTCTTTAAAAACTGGGAATCGACTGGGAACTTTTGCAAATTGTAACTTATGGCTCTTCCGTTTCAATAGGTTACCGACCACTGCACTAGACCATTACGGCACACATTCTATCGTGATAAGCTGGGTTCACATTCCGAAATAGTTGTGAGGAAGGGGCCATTTTCGAATGCAGGCGGAGTCGACTACAGCGAAAAGGAATTACATATTCAAAAAGTGACGTTTACCTCCAAATACTTCTTAATTACTTCAAATATATTCAAGTACATCTCAATTACTTAAATTACTACTTTCGAGTATTTTAATTATCTATAATTATTTATGAAATATTTTGATTCTATTAGCGTTTGGCAGAGACAGAAAGGCGTGACCCCAATGGGTCATTGGATTTGACCCATTTTCAATAGGCTTATTACTTGGTTCAAGCGTTTGACAGTTATCCTGTTCACGGACGGACAGACGAACACCATCAACTCCCCTATAAACTTGCATCGCTTTGCTCTGCCGCTTAATAAATGTGTAAGCAAATATAGCAAACGAACTCCTGGGTATTCGATTTGGTTTTATTCCAAGTGCCTATGTACCAATTTTCGTTTAAATACTTCCATAAAAAAAATTTGCAATTCGCAATGCGAAAAGGGCCCTGTAAATGTTGAATCGATTAGCCCCAACTTTTGTACTATTCAATTTCATGCAATTCGGTTCATAACTAATAGAGATGTCAAAAAAGCCTCCCTTATTTTTTTACGCACATTGCCAATTCACGAACTCAGATCTACAAAAATGATAAAGAATCCAAATGTAGAATTTCGTTTTCGAGAGATCGTGCTAACGGACAGACGGACAGGCACCGCAAAATTATACTCTCTAGGTCCTAGGAGCTCGTTAATAATTGAAAAATGTTAGTTATTTAAAATATTTTTGCTATAGTGTTTTATAATGATAATAATAATAAAAACAAAACAGAAAAATTAATTACACATCCATCAAAAATCACCTAAAAGAACAATACAAACATTTATTTGTCAAAATACTTAAATCAAGCCTCCACTCGAAAAACATATTTAAAACCATCGACATATTTGCAAGGAGGTACTCATTTGGCATAATGAAATGGACACCTACCGAATTAGAAACTATTAACATTTGCCGGCCCGGGTGGCGCAATTCAGTTTAGGCTGGACTGTGGTGCTAAGGGTCCCTGGTTCGAATCCGGGTTCGGGCATGGATATTTAATTTTACAAGAAATAATTGAAAAAATTTAATTAAACAATTTAAATTAAACAATTCCATCAGAATTTTAAATTTTTTTAGCTGGGGTTAATCTTGAATGATAAAATCTCCAGAAAAAAGAAACAAAAAAAAATACTTCTGAAACAATAAATAGAATTATCCCTCAACGTAGACCTTTTGAGTCTCGCTAACCCAAACACACCGATCGATAGTTCGCGGGGTGAATCACACTTTATTAAAACTAAAAAAGAAAATAAAATTAAAAAAAGACTAACGATATACAAACTAAAAAAATAAGTTAATTTTATCGATTAAAAATATTTTATTTAAAGTAATTTTTTATATTTTTTGGAACAAAATTTTATAAATTCAAAAAAAGTGGATTTAATTTATTTATATAATTTTTTATATTTCTATTGGATTAACTGTTAGGTATACTGTGCGTTTATGTTGTTAATGATAAAACTGAATTTATTTCCATTTAAAGAAAACAATTCTCGGATTTACATTAATTCCTTTCTCTATATAATTAATTCCTTCTCGAATTAATATTTTTTGAATACAAATTCATAGGATTAATTCTTTTAATTCAAACAACATTTTGTAAATGTATAGTGGGTTGGGTTGGTAGAGCAGCCTTAGCTGAAACCCCGCCCACTCAAAAATATAGGCAAAATAATATAAACAATTTAATAATAAGTCATATTATGTAATAATATACAGGGTGTTCCATATGGAAAGTCACATTTTTCTTATTATCTGAAAAATACGATGTGGTTTTGATTTTTTAATTGCACATTTGGATTCGAGAGGCTACCTACTGCAAAAACTTCTAGAACTCTATGACCATTCCCCTAGAAGTAGTTCAAAACAGCAGAAGTCGGTTCGGACGGACAAAACGCAAACAATAGCCCTTTTTTTAATTCTTAAAAAAATGCGCTAAAAAGCATATCAGGGAACCAAATTTCGCTTTGAAGCTGAAGACAAGAGGTGCTTCCTGAATGAATTACTGGTAGTGGATAGATTCATCCTCGGATTCATCAAAAGGTTTTTACCTTTGACTTGTTATTTCTATTGGTATGGTGCCATAAAAATGAGATTAATTCAAGGTATTCCATTACCTACTTATTTTATGTGCTGGGAATATTTTATTAGTAATGAGATTTAAAATTTCAACAAGTATTTAATTCGGTAGATACCACAAAATAATGATCAAATTCAAGCTTAAGTCCAAGACGAGGTCCAAGATTAGTTTATTATTATATGAACAAGATTGTCAAAGTGAAAGGCAGTCATTATGGAGACTTTTGGGTTTAAAATCATGTCAAGAGTTGAGTGTGTTGAGCGCGAGGTTGAGCGTATGTACAAATGCTTCAGTGAAAAATGTAGGGGGGGATTTCAAATATGAATATCTTGAAAACGCAGTGTCAGAAAAGGATACTTACAAATGATGCATGTTTGATACTAAGCTGTTCACATTGTCTTGTAGATGAACACTGTTGATTATTGGTACAGCATCCAGAGATCCATGGATGCAGAAAAGTACTATGGTTTTAGGAGATGAAACGGTCGATGTATTTCTATTGTAAAAATGTGCAGATTTAAGAATTTCTGTTAGTTGGCCATGACAGCGACAAAAAAACACACAATCACTAAAGAAATGTCACTTAAAAGTTTGATCTTTTTAATAAAAAAAATTGAGGAAACAATATTAAAATAGTCACTAAACATTTTTGGAATACACTGCTTTGTACATCGCTACCCGAATTTTTTGGGCTTTATAAGATACCCATAGGGGGTTTCCCGAGGGATTTCCATAACAATTTTTTTCATTTTTCATTTTTAATGTTAGTTTTTGACCCCCTACATTAAAGAAAATTGGCATCGACTTTTGGTACAACCGGAAAATGTCACCAACTTAGAATATTTTACATAAATTCCCCTTATCGAGATTAGTGAAATTTTCCAAATATTCCGAGATCACCTATATATGTCGTGGGACACCCTGTATAACTTTTCGTGCATGTCAAGGGTTTGACCAATCTGTGTTTAGTACATTTTTTCCCCGAGATATTGTGACGTTTATTCTGAGCAAAATTGCATTAAAAAAATAAGAAAAATAATTACACCTACCGTTAGAACTTTTCAAGTCACGATGAATTAAAGAAATTGGCGCGCCACAATGTAAATAATCCATCCCTCGTGCAATTTGTATTGCCCAGTCCACTAGTACATCCGGTCGTATTTTTCGACCGGTTAACACTCTATTTAACGAACCGCCTCTGCAATATTCAAGTATAAGACACAGATTAGGTTCTTGGAGGCACACCCCTTCTAAGGACACTATATTTTCATGCTGTAAAAGACAAAACAGTTTTGCTTCTTTAAGAACATTGGCTAACGTAACCGCGATCTCGGAGTCCGGATCCTGTCTTGCGGCCTTTACAGCCACTTCACGATTTTTCCATATACTTCTGTATACTTTCCCAAAGCCCCCCACCCCGATCACTTCCTCTAAGTCCAATTCACTAAAATCAATTTCAATGGGATGTATATCACTTATAATTGAGTTAACGTGATTGATGGGGTCGTCGTATACTACAAAATTTGAGGGAAAAATACCGACTTTTTCCCCAATTTTACCGGTCCACCAACCCTCGTCACCTGAAATTTTCGAGTCCTCAGAAAGCACTTCCACAATTTGCCCTTTCCGCAACGATAACTCGTCTTCACCTTGCGCTTCGTAGTCGTAAAGAGCCGTCCATAAGGTCGATGAAATCGGGTTTCGGGGGAAATGCGAGTGCTCGCCAACATGCACCGAGCTGACCATGTCTCCATTGCGGGGCGATTCCATGGACTTGAAGGGGTACTGCTCCACCAACGGAGGCATCCGTCACGTTTGTCTGACTTTAATATCAAAACTAAATTCGGACCAAATCTCCCATCGTTTTGTTGCTACTATCGCATTTTAATTGATGTCAGTTTGACAACAGACAACAACCAGGTGGTCAATTTGCCAGAGGAAATTCGCCCAACTAGAAAACTCTTCCGCCTCATAAATACTTTTCTTATCACAGCCATTGATTAGATCAACTTTTCAATTTCACTTAACGATAACACCCTCTTCACACATTTGACATTATTTTCCTCTATTTTGTATATATAACTATAAATACGGCCATCTTTTTTTCGAACCACCTCCTTCGTACGAAGATGACCCTTGTCAAATGTGAGGAGTGCAATGCGGTGCAGTGAACGTTTTTATTTTCAACCTACCGAGCAAACAAACGCCACTAGTCCACTTAACTATAAATAGATGACGCCACTAACACCATAACCAATCAGATTGGGCATTGAATAAAAAATTCAAAAGACAGTAATTTCACAACCATTATATTTTACCATTGAATGTGTTTTTATTCAATGATTTTACGCATTCCTACAAGCATTTTTATCGCCGATAAAAAGTTACCTAGCGTTTAATCGCTGATAAAAACTACCTAGCTTTTAATCACTTAAAAAATCATCCGATTGGTTAGAATTTGAAACAATCACCGAGCTGATTGGTCGAATATTAATGGAGTGTATTAATCAATGAATAAAAAATACTGTATTAATCAGCGATAAAAATGCGTGGAGGAATGCTTAACCGTAAAGTTTTGTTGCCTCCTGGAAAAAACTCGAGATCTAAAGCGTGATAAAATCGCGACAGTTGGAGTTGCAACAAACTTTCGCGTAAAATTAAAATTAACTGATTAAAGGCAAATGCGCCCTTAAGCACAGCGGGGAGCACCCCGGCGAATACCCTTTTTCGTTCACGTTGATTTAAGTACCTACAAACGCTCACTTGAGCGAAGCGTGGTACGGTTTTACAACCGTACCGTATTTTTGCTTTTGGTGTTTTACTGTATTTAAATCCCCGCTAGGGAGTTTGCCGTAACTTCGTCCTAGTCTTCCGAAGTGATCCCCGCCATTTTCTAGACCCGTCCGATTCCTGGAGCTGCCGTTTCTTCGGTTGCAACCGCCGGACCTCGACCAGGACCAGACGCGAGGCCGTTCGCTTGGTGGCGCTAGAGTCCGTCCGTTTGTTTTGTTCCGCTGACTGCCGTTACCTTCATTCGGTCATTTGCTGAAGACCCCTACTCCATGAATGTTTAATCCGCCAGTGATAGATATAGATAATTCATATTGTTCCGTTTTTTATGGTCCGTTCACTGTTCCTATTTGTCCTCCACCAAAAACCATCCTCTTAACTGAATATCCTCACTCTGTCCATTATCTAACATTCGAATCTGCCAAATGCTAGAGTCACTCGATTATTCTTATACATGAAAAATCTGATACAACTGAAGACGAAACGATCCTTGAAATCTGCAAGCATCTGTAGTGTACTTAACCCCCAGGTTCTACGCTAACTTCACACTACAAGAACACGGAAATAAAGTCAACCCGGCAACGTTTAAAAAAAGGCCACCCCAATGACTATACCCTCCAAAACTAAACAAGATCCCGCTTAAATTTGAAAAGTGGCACGTGATAAAACATCTAAGGCAGGGCCCCCTTACGTTAGTTATAGACAACGCTTTGACCTGAAGCACAGTAGGAAAGGAACATTAAATAAAACACTGAAATTGTGAAAAGTTTGTTTAATAATGATCGTAATTATTATGATTGCGAAAACACGGAAATTTAGTTGATGTACGTTAATAAGCAAAGCCTGAAGGGTGTCGTACTCTCGCAAAAGTCACTGCCAAGGGTAAAAAGAGTACGACGAAGAAAAACCTTGCAGTTTGATAAAAACAGTCCAAAAGTTAATTAACAAAATATTAACAAAGGTAGACAGTAAATGCATATACACAAGGTTGGTTACACTCAAGGTTAAAACAAGTGTTTGGGAACAATGGGTCAGGTAGGAGCAGGTATCAAGATTCTGAGAAAGGGTGAAATACACAGGATGTGACTCATCTTTGGTGCAATAAAGTCCTTTTGTTGAAAGCAAGATGGAAAACTACATGGCCTTGTAGGCAAATTTGACTAAAAACAAGATATGTGGAAATTATTGAATCGCCACTCATTTAACGCACATAGAATCTAAACTGAAGAGCTTTGATTAGCGTAATCTCGCTCCTGCAAGATGGGTAGTTCGCCCCTGGTTTCGGGATTTCGAACCAACAGTTGGATGTCAAAGACAATCACAGTTTTTACCACCCCCGTGACTGCTTCATTCACGGAGAAAATTGTTAGTAACAAACAACAAGTCAGTACATACATTAAACGAATCGGCAATTTCCACATACATATTAACATAAAATGATCAAAACTTATATGAATGTAACTTCAGGGGCAAGACCAAGTAATCAACATCAATAAACATAAATTAAGCAAACATTACACCAAAAATGTAAACAATTACAAACAATAGCATAACGGTATCTCACATATGATTGCATTGCGGTTAAACCAAGTAAATTTCAAAAACATATCTTGAAACACACAAAAAAATATAAAATGCGGTAAACGAAACACAAATACGATATAAAGAAATGCAAAAATTACTACCTGCATTAAATAACACAAAATAACAACAAACATTTATGGAGCGACGCGTTCACGACCGCCATTCAAGACAAGATGCCAAACGTAACTCACGTTCGTGCTTTCTAGGTGGCGCAGGCAGTTTTTTTCCCACCTAGAAATTGCATGGTTGCCAACTCTCAAAAAGGTATGTATCGTCATAAGTTGTATATACAAGGTGGAACCTTTTACATCCATCATTTTTTACAACTATGTAAGAAAACAATAGTGACCTTTCTTATATCCTGTGTTTTCACGTCATGCACATGGACAGACAGATGGCATATACAATATTAGTGAAAATGAATTCCCTTGATGCAAAAATAAAGGCAAAATAAAAAAAAATAGTTATTTATGTATCAAGGGTATTAAGGTCATATGTAGTCCGAGGGTGAATTCGGCGACGGAGCCCGAGGCTCGAGGAGACTGAAATTTAGTGCGTGAACGGCTCCATAAGACGCAATTTTTCAGGTGTATCCGAGATGCCGGTATACGGGCGACTGTATGTACAAATGAAAAATAAAATATTTCATTATTTTGTTGTGTAATAAATAATTACCGAGATATATGTTTTATAATATTTATTCCAGAATTCAGAATATGTACAAACTTACTTTATAATTCACGAAATAAAAGTGGCAATAACTCTCATGAACTGATTAAACTAGTACTGTCATCAGAGGTGACGTAGTACGTAACCCAATTAGAATTGTGTTCCTTTCTATTAATTATTCTTCGACGCGATTTCTCAATTTCTTTCACAAACACTCTTTCGGATGCCGAAGATGAACGTATTTCTCCAACACTACGTTCATATGATCTAGTTACCTCTCCTTCCGAGTGAGTTTCTTCCTCTAAAGACGGCAATGTTTTTCCATTCTCTGACATAATCTCTCTACGTACCTCCACATTACCATTGAGCTTCTTAAAATCATTGTATTTAACGACCGTATATTTCAAATACTGTTTGATTTGTTCACAATTACAGTTATCAATTATAAAAGTTGGTTGCTGAATGCTCACTGGCATTACCGTGTGCTTTTTTTTAGTATCATCAAGTCCCTCGGAAGCTTTTTTGATAACACTGAGAACATGTTCATTAGAATAGTCGTTATGTAAGCGAGAGGGGCTGATAGGATCAATTGTAGCAGGAACGGATGCTCTCGTGGGCATTGTGCCAATAGTCAACTCTTTAATAAAGGACTCCATATGCGGATCACATTCTTGCAGAGGCAATCGATGAGAACCGAATAACGGCTCCTCAATTTTAACTTTACGCCTCTGTTGAGGGTCCGAGGGACAGCTGCCGTCATCTTTTCCTTCGTTGTTTTGCATGTCAGTCAAACGCTTAGTTTTGGGCTCAGAAATGGACGACTTTCTGGGGCGGGATTCTGGTTCATGCTTTACAAAATACGGTTTCTCTTTCTTTAGTTTAGGACAGCAAAACTTTAGACATCTACAGTAATCGGAAGCTTCGACAACAGAATTGGAGGGTGTTTCTAATAGACTAAATATTTTCAAAGAGTCATCTGTATTCGCTGTACTGCTACTTCCCGTTGAACTTCTGCGTTTGAAAGATTCTGTTTTTGAAGAAGATGCTGTCATTTTCCCATCATGTATGAGTAAGAATTCATCACTTATTGTAGGCTTATTTAATACGTCTTTCAAGTCACATTGAGGAACTTCTTTCACGTTACTAGTCTCACAAGATTCTAATTTTTTAAGACCACTGTCCGAGTTGCTCAAATGACTGTTGCCCCCAGTAATACCTCGTTGCGACATTTCTCTTAATGCACTAGTGTTTATTGAAAGTATTACGTCTACAGTGGCTCCTGAAATACTTCCATCCTTATCTCTTACCTTTCTTTCTGAATTTTCGCTTTTACCTGCCTGTTTAAAAAGTGACGCATCCATCTGACCTCCATTCTCATAAAAAATTCCATCAACTTGGGTCGCCTTGTTCTGGTAAAAATTGCCCAGTGAGCTATGTACTTCGCTACCTTTCGAACTTGAGCTTGTTGTAGATTTGATATGTTTAAAACCGCTAGGATTAACGTAGGTCTTATAGACGTCCTTATCAATGAAACATAGACGATCTTCGTCAATCTCTTCACTGCAAGTGGGTAATACTCGATTTTCTTCAATAACCTGATAAGATTTGTACATAGAAAGGGCGTCGGGATCTTTTAAAATGTCCCCCATAATTTTTTTTGAAATCTCGTCCTTGTGAGTATTTGCAATTCTTGGCACAATTGTGTCTTCAGAAACATGGTTACTACCACTAGTCTGGCTACTTTCATCGACATACGTGTGTTCTACAATCTGTGTACTTTCACTTTCATGTTCATTTAGAACTTGATCAATTTTGTCTACAGATTTGTTATTTGTTGTGGAAAGAATTTCGTATCCCACATTCTGATTGTCAATTTGTGCATTACTTTCCTCCGGTTCTATTACAACATCGGGGATTTTTTGTGTAACTAGCTCTTTTCTAATTACGACAGATGGCAACAAATGTGCCGACAGCTTTGTGTGTATTGATGGAATTATTTTTTCTTCACTGGTAGAATTTACATTTTCTTCTTCAAGTTTTGTGTAGTCATTGGGTTGGGTCTCAATATTTTCATTTGCCAATTTCTCAAGCTTACTAACAACTTCCTGACATATTGCAAATTCGCATTTCTGATCCTCTTCTCCTTCAGACCACAATTCACCTGAAGGTACACTAAAAATGGTATTGTCTATTGTAGCAGGTTGCTCACATTGTTTACTTGATTGTGGTTCATTTTCCTGTGTATTGCTTTTGTCACTCGTATTTGGTTTATTAGGGGAATTTTCTTGGGGATCGTCTGTCTCTATTTGTGTGCTCATGTTGAATACTCCAATGACTTGTTTAAAGTTGTC